CCCCTTATCCTCAAGCAAATTGAGGGCATCATCACATCTCTTCGTGGAAGAAGGACCCAGCCTCACTCACCCAGGATGCTCACATGTCCAGTATATTACGTATGACATTGACTCCTCAGCCTCTGTCCTTGACCTAGCTCCCAGTGAGAACGAAAACCTAGTGTTTCATTTTACAACACTTCAAATCAGAGGCCTGGCAGCTCTGCTTGGAGGAACAGCCAATGGAAATAGAGGTCGCGGCTGTCCATCAGGGTGTATTTTTGCATGCACAGGGCAGTTTCTGCCACAACATTTTCCTCCAAGGGAATCAATACAAATGAAGAATGCCGGATGCTCGGGTCCACCAGAGGCTCAGGAACAAAAGTACAAAATAGAAGCTGCCCCGACCCTAATTTAATCCAGGAGAACAAACAGAGAATCACTCAGCAGTCCTCAAACCCACAGTCAGAAGATTATGCCCAGGAGGCAAATAGTTTTATGGACCATCTCCCTGACCCACTCCCTCTTGCCACAGAAACGAGATTAAAATGGCCTTGATGACTTGGTGAAAGATGTGCTTGTGGGTTGTGTTGATCTGGTGCTGTTTTTTCAAGGTAAAGTCAAATACACAATGGAAATTTCTTATTTATAAAATAGCTACAACCCTGCTGTGTGAGGATCACACTTGTTCTTTACTTCACGTCACTCAAGATTCTGTTCAAATGCTACTTCCTCAAAAAAAAAAAAAAGCTCCCTTGACCTCCATCACCCAATACTCATACCCTCGAAGCCTTTTGGAAAATTGAACTTTCTTTCTGGCGTTGGCTTCTATATTTGCTTGTTTATTAACGTCTGATTTCTCCTCCCTATTATAGTGAAACTGAATGAGGATGAAGGCATCAGTGTCCCCAGAACTCCGATTTACAGCAATCAGAACTGTGCCTGGGCACATATGAAGGACTCCATAAATGTTTGTTGAATGGATATATAAGTGGAGCGACCCCAAATCAAAGACCCTGAGGCAAAGGAGCCGTCTTGGAGTTTGCCATTTGAACTCTTTCTCTTTGGAGAACTACTCTGAAGATGCTTTTTTTTGTTTGTTTGTTTGTTTTATGTGCGCATTTGCATGTGCATGCAAGTGTCCATGGATGCCAGAAAAGGGTGTGTGATCCCCTAGAGCTGGAGTCACAGTGCTTGTAAGCCCCCCAGTGGGTGATGGGAAGCAAATTCCAGTCTGCTCTGGAAGAGCAGCAGGTGCTCTTAACCACTGAGCCACCTCTCCAGCCCCTACTCTGAAAATTCTTGAGGATAGTTTCCAATCCCAAGTAATACGATTGACTTCTTCTATTACACAGTGAGCGTGGGACCTGGGTGTTCAGCAAACCAGCTGCGCAACCTCTCGAGGGCATGCGACATCCTTGGGGAGGTATATAGTGGAAAATATGAGGTCAAGAGCTGAAAATCAGGTGGCCCGAATCCAAATCTCAGATCTGGCGCTTCCTACAGGAACAGCCATGGAACATTCAGTTAACAACTCCATGTTTTAGTTTCCTTCCCTATAAAACAGGGGTGGTATGGATTGTGCCTGCTTTACAGGGTTTCGTGTGAGAAAAAGTAAGCAAATGTATATGAGTCACATCTTCTGAGATGGAGGGAACATGTAACACTCATCATTATTTCCTTTTTAAAAGATTTATTTTTATTATTATTTCTAATTGCGTGTGTGTGTGTGTGTGTGTGTGTGTGTGTGCACTGTGAGTGCAGGTACCCTCAGAGTCCAGAAGATGTCAGATCCCTTGGAGCTAAAGTTATAGGCAATTGTGAGCCATCCCACGTTGGCTTTAGAAACTAAACTCAGATCTTCTGCAAGAGGACTCAACCTCGGAGCCATCTTTCCAGCCCCATGCCAGTCATTCTTAAAAATATTGTTTTGAAATACTTAATGGAAATGTTCTGTTGCTCAGTGCCAGAGCCTGAGTGAGATGACATATAATGCCAGAGACATTCAAACTCAAGCACTGGCCATGGACCTGGATGGCTAGGAGTGAGTGGCTCCTTGTATTCTGTGCCCAATATGTTTTAATCACCCTGGTCCTGGCTTTGCAAGAAATGGACATGTAAGACCTAAAACAACCCCCATCGAAAAAACATCTCCTTGCAACAGACAGAGACCATTACAGAAAACCACAACCAGCAAAACTACAGAGAACAAGTGAGCATGTGGTGGCCAGCCCCCAATTGCTACAACACAAGTTCTGAACCTAAGGCTTGGGTTCCACAGCAGAACAGGGGACAGAAAGATTGTCAGAACCAAGGGAGCAGGGAGTTTGCTGTGTGACTCTGTCTCCTAGACGCATCAGAGAAGCTTCACCTGGGAACAGCACATCAATATGGCTACCAAAACAAGACCTGAACAAAAATTCCACCCCCAGACATACTAACAAGGAAGGGAGAAATCTCACAGGACCCCAGCCCTAGAACTACAAGCAGCTAAGGAATTGTGAGAGCTAAATAGTCTTTCCCAGGGAAGAGCCCTCAAATTGGTTGTCCAGAACCAAGGGGTCAGCTGTGAAGTCATATACGTACAAGCAATAATATATGGACTAAGAAGATTGTACTTATATATTTAGGAATTTATACAATGTGTGTTTATGTAACAACAATTGAAAAGATATAGGCCACGAGTCTGAGAGAGAGCAAGGTGGGGTACACTGGAAGGGTTGGAAGGAAGAAAGGGAAAGGGGAAAATGATGTAATTACATTTCAATTTCAAAAAATAAAGAAATATACTAAAAATAGAAGTAAATTTAGCAAACAACTTCCAAATGCTGTTTGTCTTGTGGTGTGGTGTTTACAGAACAAATATAATTCAAGTTAAAAATGGGGCAAGAGAAGAGCTGTGGCTGGGAGATAGCTAAACAGGTAGAACACCTACTGTGCAAGCCTAAGGACCTGAGTTCAAATCCCAGAACCCCCATAAAAAGCTGGTGGCTGTACATAGGCACCTGAAGAAACATGTGTAAGTGTAAGCATAATCACACACACCAAAACAGAAATAAAAACATTACAGTGTCTTAAGAGAAAAGAACAGGAAACAATAAACAACAAAATCGGTATTTTTATTTTAGTTATTTGTCCCAGAAGCCTCTGGACAAAACCCTTGCTGAGGACCAGCATTCTTAAGGACTAATCTTCAGACATACTCAGGAATCCCTGGGTTTATAAGTGAGTCCAAACAAATGTATACAAAGAGGAGTTTTAACTATACAGCAGTAATGAAGAAACTCTGAGCTGTGGTGGCCCAGCACTCAGGAGGCAGAGGCAGGTGGATCTCTGTGTTCCAGGCCAGTCTGATTCATACAGGGAGGTCAAGTTCAGCTAAGGCTACATAGTTAGACCCTGTCTCAGAAAGAGAGAGAGAGAGAGGGAGAGAGAGAGAGAGAGAGAGAGAGAGAGAGAGAGAGAGAGAGAGAGAGAGAGAGGGAGGGAGGGAGGGAGGGAGGGAGGAAGGAAGGAAGGAAGGAAGGAAGGAAGGAAGGAAGGAAGGAAGGAAGGGAGGGAGGGAGGGAGGAAGGGGGAAGGGAGGAAGGGAGGGAGGGAGGAAGGAAGAAAAGAAAGAAAGAAAGAGAAAGAAAGAAAGAAAGAAAGAAAGAAAGAAAGAAAGAAAGAAAGAAAGAAAGAAAGAAAGGAACCAGCCATTAAGAGCACTTCAACTTTTCTAGGGATCCTGAGTTCAGTCCCAGCTTCCACGATGCATGTCTTACAGTTGCCTGTAACTCCAGACCCTCTTCTGGCCTCTGCAGGTACTTAGATGGGTGTGCATGCAAATGCACACAAGCACACACACAGAGACATACATACACATGCATGCACAGGCACACACAGACACACACACAGGGGCAGGTGGTAAAGGAAATTTAAAAAAAAAATAAACTCAACATTGTAACAAAATGCATCAGTAAACGACTTTCCAGTGACATTTTTCTGTAAACTCCATAAACAGTGAGAATAGTATGAGAACGGATCTTCAGGGAAGTTCCCCCACCCCATACCCCAAATCCTCAATGTGCAATTTGCTCAAGCAGACAGTTATGGAAAATGACCAGCATAGCTCATCCCTACCTATCATGATAGTTCCTGTTTTGCTCTATAGATCTGATTGATCTTTTCAGGCTGAGCTATAAAGAAAGCCAGAGACTGTTGCTGTACACAGTCCACTAAAAGAACTCCACAGGTTTGCTTCGTTTCAATATATACCTCTTCCCCTAAGTCAGCCGTGATGTCTAACACGAGTCTAACTTGAAACAAACTCAAATTGAGGAAATAAATAGAAATGCCTATTATAATCACACTTTGAGTTTCCAGCTTTCAAACATGGTACAGAAATGGCTATACAATGCATGCTGCCTTGTACCTTCAGCCCAAGGGTGGTGACAGATCTCCACCAAAAATGTCCCTCAAAAAATAGTTAATATTAAAATGTCCACCTCCAGTGACAGGGACATGGCTCAATCAGTAAAATGCCACACAACCAGGAGGACCTCAGTTCAATGCCCAAAATACACATTTGAAAAAGCCAAGCACAGTGGCACATGCCTGTAATCCCAGCACTGCAGAGATAGAGGATGCCTGGGGCTCACTGGCCAGGCAGCTAAGTCAAACTGGCAAGCTCCAGGTCCCAGTGAGAGACTTCTCAAAAAAGGTGGACAGTTGCTAAGGTGGGACTGACCTTCAGCCTCTCCATGCACACATATGTACCTTCACACACAGGAACATGCACACACACACACACACACACACACACACACACACACACACCCTTCACACACAGGAACATGCACACACACATACACAGGAACACACCCTTCACACACAGGAACAAGCACATACACACATACACAGGAACATGCACACACACAAATGTCTACCCATCCATTCTGGTTCCGGATGTTCTGGCTGAGCAGCTAGGAGTGGAATTTGACTCCCATGGAAAGTGCTTAGGACGTGATGTAGTCACTGACCTCCAATGTTTGTTCTGTCTCCTTACAGAGGAGTTCCAAACGAGGCTGTGAAGTTTCCCAAGCTCCACACAGGCCAGTAAGATCCACCCTGCAAACAAGAGTCTGTCACCTCGCAAAGACATGGCACCTATGAAGTAGCCAGGAAGGAATTCCCCGTTCTGCTTCCTGGCACAGCAAATACCCAGGGTCTTCTTAGCCAAATGCTGGAACTTCACAGCACAGCCCCACCAATTCTGCATTTAGCAAACGACATGAACGGAACAGTTGAGACAGAAAACTGACAAGAACATCCGATATAACCACAAATCCAGGGCCACTGTCTCTTTTCACCTCTCCTCGGTGATCAGTAGCCTTCCAGAATGAACTAAACAGAGACGTGCTAGCATCCTTGACTCAAGAAAGAGGGGTTAAGGATAGAGGATAGCAGACTGCACACATTTTCAGTCCAGTATATTCTATCTCGGTTGCTGCTATTTTGAGACCAGGTCTCACGTAGCACAGGCTGGCCTTTAACTTATCTTTCTATATAGCTGAGGATGACCTTAAACTAGTGACCTGGAACCAGTGACCCTTTTGAATTCACCTTTCAAGTGCTGAGATTCCAGGCATGCACCATCATGACTCCTTTGTGCAGACTGAATCCAGGACTTTGTGCAGGCTAGACAAGTTCTTGAGTGCTCAAACTTACCCACATCCCCAGCCTTAGCATGCTTCCTTTCCATGAGTACCTGGTGCCCAAGAAGACCAGAAGCTGTCAGATTTCCTGCAACTGGAGTTACAAGCTGTTGGAGCTGCCACATAGGCGCTGGGAATTGAATTTGGGTCCTCTGGAAGAGCAATAACTGCGTCTAACCTCTTAGCCATCTCTCCGGCCCCTTCATTCATTTTTTGACATGGGTTTCACTATGTTATCCAGACTGGCCATGAATTTCTGGGATAAAATGATCCTCCTGCCTCAGCTTCCCCAATATCTGGGATCATAGGTGTGTTGCCACCATATGCAGCTACTTACTGTATAATTGTTTTAACTCTTTTATTTTATGTGTGTGTGCGCGTGAGTGCGTGTGCGTGGGGGGGGGGAATGCCTGCCACAGGGCATGTGTGGAAATCAGAGGACAACTTTTGGAAGACAGATCTCTTTTTCCACCTGGGTTCTTGGGATTAAACTCAGGTCTTCATGCTCACAGGCAAGCAACTTTCCCCGCTGAGTCATCTCAGCCGTGCCCCTTCGCACGATGTTAGTACTGGAAACTGAGGCATTTAAAGGCATGCTTCCCAGGCTCATACAAGGAACCCATTCAGCTCTTTCTTCAGCTAACCCAGCCCCTTCCTCAGTGCCCAAACACCCTGCACAGCGGCCCCCAACCTCAATATCCTCCCCATTTCCCAGAGGCGCCACCGTGCTAACTCACAGTTTAGTTTTCCTTCCCCTGACAATGACCATCTGTAAGAGGCCCTGGGCGCCTGGAATTTGAAATTGTTTTTCTTCCCTCTCTTCCTGAAGACCAGATTGTTCCTAGGCTCTGGGATGCCCAGCCACCACAGGCCTGACTCCCTGGCACCTACAGCCGCCTTGAGGACCTGGGTTTGTTTTTGCAGGATTGCTCATGAGCGATGGAGTGCTGGCACTAGCCTCCTTGGGAGAGGAGCATGGCAGCTAGGCGTGTGTTTTCAGGGAAGTAAACTGCAAGAATAAACAGAAGATACACACCCCCCACATCCTGACGGCTGAGCCCCAGCCTCCTCGGTTCTGACAGCTGATACATTCTGACTGCCCTTCAGAGTTGCACACCAGTGCCAGCTGCGGGCCTTGAAGCATGGTGGGCAGACAGGAGCCCAGAGCTAGGCTCTCCACATGCTGCAGGTACATTTTACATCCTCTACCTCTGTGGTACAGGCTCCATCTACATCTGAAACCTCAGGCAAGCCAGGGCTGGCTCTTCAGATGATGGCCTGGTGAAGCCAGGGGAAATGCCTCAGCCAAGCCTGGTGACTTCAGCCAAGCCTGGTAACCTGAGTTCCTTCCAACCATGGTGGAAGAAGACAGCTATCTCTCTAACGCTGGCCTCTGGCCTCCACCCAAGGCACGTGACACTTGTGTGCACACATCCATACAGAGAGAGAGAGAATAATAAACATTATATATTATATATGCATGGCTGAATTCATGGTTGAAATATGCATACTCCAGGTAGAGCATGTGGGGTTCCTAGGCATGCCTGTACTTTCAGCAGCATGTGGGTTCTTCTAAAATACCAACCTCCTCCTTACCTTGGTGCCTTGGACTGTACTTTTGTCTCTGCCTGGATTATCCTACACACACACACACACACACACACACACACACACACACATACGGGTGGTCCTGCTCCCCACACCCTCATTCTAGTCCTTCAAGTTAAAGTTGGGGTGCCAGGTTGTAGGGAGCTCTTTCCTATCAACCCTGGCAAAGGGAGAGGACCCTCCATCTCTTCCTCTATCTTGCTCATTTTCTTCAAGTGTGCCTTATAGCTCTAATAATATATGTTGTGTGTGTATATATGCATGTGTGTGTATGTTTGTATTTGTTCACATATGTACATGTATATGGTATATGTGTGGGTACACATGTGTGCACTTGCACACAGAAGCCAGAGCTCCACGTTGGATGTCTCCCTCAATCACCTTACGTTTTTGAGACAGGGTCTTTCATCGAATCTTGGGTTCACTGAGTCAGCTAGACTAGTTGGCTAGTGAGCCCCCGGGATCTGCCAGTCTCCACCTCCCCAGTGCTGAGGTTTCAGACACGCCCCTCCCCCACAGACACTCAGGTTCTTACATGGGTTCTGAAGGTGTCGGGAACTCGGGTCCTCTTCTTTGCATCGCAAAGATTTCACTCACTGAGCCTTCTCCCCGTCCAATTTCTAGTCATTTGCGCTGTCAGTTTTGGGGGAGTTACCGCCTGCCACAGCAGCACAGGGCCGACAATTGGACAGGGACTCAATCAGTGTCTGCCCCTTTAATGAACTCACGGCCTTGCTTTGTCCAGGCTTAATTAGTTCAGGGAAGAGATCAAAAACAGGCACCAAGACCCTTAATCACAGACCCTATTGGTAATTATATCTCCAGCTGAGCTTCGGTGAATAATAGATGACAAGACAGTGGTGGGGACATGGGGGGCCCCAAAGGCCAACGAAACAAAGGATCTTGCAGCCAGAAGGGACCTCACAAAAACTCAGGCTGTTGAATGTGCATCCTTTGAGGTCAGCACACGACATAATACCAACGACACGGCACATGCCCGTCTCTCCTTGGGAATCCGCCGTACTTTTCGAGGTGTGTATCTGCAAACATATCCAAACTATGTAGGAATTCAACTGCAGACTAGACAAGGGAAAAGGCCTTATCATTGACAACTGAATACACAGGAATTCACAAATAAACTCTACAAGTATAGAAACGATTCTACCATGGCTAGCTCACCAGCTTGCTCAGAAAATAAAATATACCTCCATGAAATAATTCAAGGAACCTAGAAATTCATCAAATAATATCCAGTAACTTTTATAAGCGCTTTGGAGATCAAAATGAGTCAGTATTAGAGGGAAAAAGAAAACAAGACTTTTTGCTAAGGCCTTTAAGAGAAGGATTGGAGAAAGGTTAGCACCCAGATTTTTCAAGTTTTGGAACAAAAGCTAAGGATGTGGCTCTGTTGGCAGAGTGCTCACCTAGCATACATGAAACCCTGAGTTAACTGGGCATAGTGGTCCACACTTCTAATCCCAGCACCCAGGAGACAAGAAAATGGATCTCAGTGAGTTCAAAGCTAGCCTGGTCTACACAGTGAGTTCCAGAACAGTCAAAGTTACATAGTGAGACCCTGTCTCAATCAATCGATCAATCACTCAATCAATCAATAATGAATGAATGAATGAATGAAATGTTTTTTAAAAAGAAAGAATCAGAAGTTCAAGGTCACTATCACCTATATAGCAAGTTCAAGGCCAGTCCAGACTACCTGAGACACTACCTTAAAATAAATAAATAAAGCTTTAGAATGGAAAGATAGGTTTGTTTTGTCATTAAGTATACATCTTATTGATAAGTGCTGAAAATGAGTACTGTACTCCACATGCCTGCTTTCTGCACTATAGCAGAGCCCTGGAGATGCCTGGACTCCTTCTCATCCCCACTGCAAAATTCAGGTCATTTGAGAGGGAGGTGGGGCCAAATCTCAGCCAAGAGCCCAGGATGAGTGAGAGAGCAGGATGTGGTAGGGGCTACAGCAACGGACCAGACGAGGAGTGCAGAGACGTGACAGGAAAGGATTGGAGGTGGACCGAGGGTGGCCAGTGGCTGCTTCCTTCATAGGACGTCCTTATTTTGGGCCTGTTGACTTTGCCAAGCAGCACCTGAGTCATCTCCCTCAAGACTAGTGACCAACCCAAACAGAGGAGCTCAAACATTGCTCCTGGCCCCCTGGGCATCGTGGGTTCCCACTAAATATGCACATCCTGTTGACTGGGTTTGATTCTGATACTGGACCTTTAAGTGGGAGATGGGGTGTCTATGTGTACTCTTCCATTGTGTATTCTCCTTGTTAGGACAGTGCAGAGCAGAAAAAGAAACCATCACAATGCTTTAGAGATAGCAAGCATTGCTATTAAAAATGCTGCTGTTGGCATGGAAACAAGAAACAGTTGGGCTGGAAGAAAGTGGCGGTGAGTTGAAAGGTAGCATGGTCTTACCATTTTCCCTCTGCTTTTGCCGATTGCAACTATGCCCCGGCATAGGCGAATACACCATGGGTGTGGTTTCCTTTCCCCAGCCTCTCCGGAGAAATCTGAATCCCAGCTCTGCTTCACAGCCACATGATCTTGGACATGACTTTGACTTCACTGAGCCACACCCTCGTCCTCTGGTAACTCAGGGCAACGCTCAGCATGGTACAAGTAAAGACAGGTGCTCCATAAGCATCATTCTCCATTGTTTCCTGAGAAAAGGGACCTATGGAGATTGAGGAGATAGTTCAGTTAAGAAAATGCTTGCCTTGTAAGCATGAGGACCTGAGCTGCATCTCTACAACACATGAAAAACCGCCAGGCATGGTATCAGTACCTGTAAACCCAGATCTAGAGAGGAAAAGACAGATGGAACCCTTTAGGTCACTGGCCTGCTATTACTAGGCCTACCAACCTAGCCTACTGCTAAGTCCCAAGCCAGTGAGAGATTTTGTTTGAAAAAAGGAAATTTAAGTGGATGGCACCTGAGTAACAACACCCCAGGTTATTGTCCTGTGGCTTCTACGTGAAAGCACTAAATGTACACCCAAACCTACATAAACACACACACACACACACACACACACACACACACACACACACACACACACACACACACACACAGTGGCCCACAGAAAGTAGACACCAAACAGAGAAAGGAGGAACAACCCCAGCTGATCTTATGGCAAAGCATGGATGCATGTGGGTTTTGTTTTAATTTTTATTTTATGGGTTTGAGTGTTTTGTCTGCATCTGTGAATGTGAACCATGTGAGTGCCCAGTGCCCACAGAGGCTAGAAGAGGGCATCAGATCCCCTGGAGCTGGAGTTACAAACAGTTGTGAGCCTCACTGTGGGTGCTAGGAATGGAACCAGAGTCCCCTGGAAGAACAGCCAGTGTTCTTAACCACTGAGCCATCTCTCCAGCCTATTTTGAGAGGCAGAAGGAAGAGAGAGCTGTGGTGTGGAGCTACAGCAAGGATCATGATGCCTGGACACAAAGTCTAGTGCCATTGAGACAAGGGGGTTTTGAGCATAGTCTCCTCTATGAACCTCAGAAGCCTCAAGAAAAAGGAAGTTTTCATATCGCTCTCAGAGCATTTCCCATGGTTCGTGGTTTTAAGTAAAACATAAGGTCTGAGACAAAAGAGGACTCTCCCTGGCTGCTTTTCACCTGGAGCAGAAGCCAAACGGGCAAAGAATCACCTCAGCTTAGAATCTTGTGGACTCTATGGTCCTCCTGGTAGCAGCAAAAGGAAGACAAAGTGAAGTTCATGACCTCCTTTCAGTCCAGAGAGCCTCCATTTCCTCCAAGAGTCAGGCAATATTGGAGGGGTTAGCTCGAAAGGTGTGCCAAAGAGACTCCTCATCCATGTCACTATGTCACGGCAAGGAGGTTTAAAAAAAATTGACACTCTCCATGGCTTTGACCACACGTGACTCGACAGTAGACGCTTGTCCCTGTGTTAGCTTTCCCTTGCCTTCCCTTCCAGGGTGAGGAGGGAGACAATGGAAGAGGGATTCAAAGCAGAAGGCCAGGCTACCAAAGGATGTCTCCCTGACATCCTAGCCGCTTAGCAATGCATCCTAAGGCATGCGTGCGGCTGACACCTCCTCCTCTGCCACAGAAACTCCTCTAGGCTAAGAGAGGACTTGGGGCCCCAGTGGGACCAGACCTACGTTCTGAGAACCTCCCACTGGCTGTGTTGGAAAATTACAGGCCACTAGTGCTGCTTGGCTCAGGTGAGCCGATAACTGCTACTGCTTTCCAAACTGTCTGTCCCTGTGGAAGCTAAACGGATTCCTATCCTAGAGCCGCCAGACAGCTGCCACACACTGAGTGCACTGGACAGCATGCAAAGCGCTCTATCATCCGTCTGGAGTCTAGAAGTCCAAATCCAAGGTGATGGCTCTCTCTGAAGGCTCTAGAGAGGATCTCTGCCGTTTCTCTCTCCCAGCTTCCAGTAATCTCAGGGGCTCCTTGACGTACCTCCACACCAATCCTCCATCTTAGACACAGCCCCGGTTGCACAGCTTCTTCTTACCTTTCCTCTGTAAGAGGCTCTAAATTTCCTATTTATACAGACCCATCCTACTCTCGTATTACCTCACCCAAACTCTTGAGACTCTATTTTGTTGTTGTCTGTCTGTCTATCTGTCTGTCTGTCTCTTTGCTTCTCTTGAGTCACATTACATGTGCTTTAGCATCTTTGCCGAAGAGGCAGGGCACTGCCTGCACATGGTACATATACAAAACCACTCAAACATAAAAATGAATAAATAAAGAAACACAAAATAAAAGCTTTAAAAGGAGGACGAAGAGAGATGGCTCTGGGTTAAGAGAACCTACTCTTACAGAAGACCCAGGTTCAGTTCCCAGCACCCACATCAGGTAGCTCACAACTGCCTCCTAACTCCAGTTCCAGGAGCTCTAATGCCCTCTTCTGGCCTTCATGGTCACCTTCACTCACATGGTGCATGTATGGATGCAAACTCAGGCACACACACATACACATAAAATAAATAATTTTTAATTAAAATGAAAGTGTTGGCAGGCCTGAGAAATGACACCTAAAGATGTCCTTTGCCCCTCTACACATGCACACACACACACTACACATATACATACACACATACACATAAAATAAACAATTTTTAATTAAAATGAAAGTGTTGGCAGGCCTAAGAAATGACACCTAAAGATGTCCTTTGCCCCTCTACACATGCACACATACACACATTGCACATATACATACACACATACACAAAGATGACCAAGAACTCAAAACTTGAAAATAATATTCCCCCAAAACGAAAGACTGTGGATGCCAATTTTTCCCCAAAAGTACTGCATCAAGATATACATGAATGCAAACAACACCCAGTCAAATACTAACCTGTAGTCTGTCTCTTTCCCCAGCCCACAGCCTCCTCCTTCCCAATCTAAAAAGCACCCAATGCTTTTCCATGCACCAAGTAACTTGTCCCCAAACTGAGGCTATATACCAAAGCTGTTTATGTATTGAATGTATGATATCGGGTTGCATCCAAGTCTCAGCAAAATTTTTGTTCCATTCAAAAACGAAGATCCTTTTAAGGGAAGGTATCAGAGAGGGCGGAGAATAGGAACAGAAATCTAGAAAAGCCATGGGTAATAGGGCAAAACTGAGGCAGGAGGATTGCTGTGAGCTCTAGGCCAGCCTGGCCCACACAGAGAATTCCAGCCCATCCTGATACATGTAGCAAGACTCTGTCTCAAAACCCAAAAAATGGAAACAATTTTTAAATGACAAAACAGAACAGAAGTGTTATGTCAAGTCGGCCCCTGCTGTATTTAAATCCCCTCAAAGAAACAGTCTTTCAAGCTAAAACACCTTTTTTGCCTTTGCTGCTTCAGATACATATAAATTGGGAATACAGCCAGGCATAATGGTTCATATCTGTGATCCTAGCACCTGAGATGCTGAGGCAGGAGGACTGCACCATGATTTGAAGCCAGCCTAAGCTACAGACTGAGACCCTGTTCCATCAAAGCAAACAAAGAAGGTAGGGGTGGGGATGGAGGAGGACAGGGAAGGCTCCCACCACCCCTGGTGTCTTCTAACATATTTCGACATTAGTCTTATCAGGAGCTGCTTTCCCAAAGACAGATGCCGAACAAGAAGCTGATCACGTTTCTCAATCTTATTTGCAAACAAGCGTTCATTTCCTGCTTATCAAGCGCAGTGAGGGGACTTTGTCCATTCAAATCATTGTCTTAAGCCAGTGATGGAAACCATTGAACAGGCTTTGCCCCAGCCAGAGCCTGGATGCTCAATGTCATTGAACTCAAAGAGTGTATAATTCATATTGAAAGGTGTGATTGCAGCCCTGTCGGCCAGGTAATCAGCCCCTGATTTCTCTTCAACATTCTAGACCAGTTGGAAATCTTAGCCTAAGAGGAGGCTGGAGGGGATTATCCTGGAAATGCAGTATCCCTTTTCAAATATAAACACGGGACTATTATCCCAGCCAGTTAGTCCCTCCTTGCTGAGAACTGAGACCCAGGCAGTGAGCACAAGGGGACCCTGGCTCTGCCCAGGCAGTTGTGTCACAGGCCTGGCTCCCCAAGGCTCTTCTGTCAGCTCAGCCTTCCAAGACTGTTGCAACCTTACCATGAATCCAAAGCCTGAGTCTCATCTCGGCACTTGTTTTGCAAACTTTTGGCTGCTTCATGGGAACCTGCCTCAACCTGAGGCCTGAGCTTCCTCTTGGCTGGGCTGGTGAAGGCTTCCTGAAAGGGATGGATCTCTTCTCCCCCACTCCATGCCGATGGTTTGGAAGTTCTAGATTGTAATGTGGCTTCCACAACTCAAAGATGAGATACCAGCTGTCTATTCTCAGAGCTAACCTTGACATAAAACTTGGTTGAGTATTTGAATGGGCCTTCATATCAAAAATGGACTTAGAGAAAAATAGGAAAAAAAAAAAAAAAAAAAAACAGTGAGGGAACCCAAGTCCCCATTCTGACTGTGTGGCCCTTCTCTGTGGACAGAGTATTGCTAGACAAAGAAGACCCATGAGGAAATAGGTTGCTTTGGTATCAAAGGATGCTTTCTCCATTTCTTTACAGTGTTTCACTTTAGCCAAGCTCACAATGGATAACATAGTTAGACAGCAAAATAAACACCAGAGGCCATAAAATACTGAGCCTTTCAAGCTTCAATGCAGACCTGCAGCCAGCTACCTGCCCTCGTGCTCGGAGGGAGAGCCGAACATATAAACAAAGTTTGCATGCAAGACTCCATGTATTATGAACATATCGCATTCAGGCTCCTGCCAGCCTTGCGGCAGACACATAACTCTACATTATGTAATGTGTAGACCAGCAAGGTCTGGAGAAAAGAGCATTTTGTTCCTTAGAACGTGCCCTGTACTCAGGGTCTGAGTTCTCTGAATTAGGCTGAGGAGGCCCCCACCCCCCAGGCATTTCAAGTCACTGCATCAATTTCTTTCTTCTAGAAAGTGCTGAGCTTAGAATTTAGATGCTTGGCCAAAGCCCCTCCTTGTGGCTTCCAAACAATATCTCCTCTTTCTTTTCTCTCCTCTCCTCTCTTTCTCTTTCTCTCTGTCTCTCTGTCTCTCTGTCTCTCTCTCTGTCTCTCTCTCTGTCTCTCTCTTTCTCTGTCTCTCTGTCTCTCTGTCTCTCTCTCTCTCTCTCTCTCTCTCTCTCTCTCTCTCTCTCTCTCTCTCTCTCTCTCTCTCCAAATATACACATAAACATATACATGGGTGTCTATTACATCTCCTTACCTTGTGTGTGTGTGTGTGTGTGTGTGTGTGTGTGTGTGTGTGTGTGTGTGTGTGTGAGACACCACCTGTCAAGAGCCAAGGACAACTTCAGGGAGTCACTTTTCTCCTCCCACCATGTGACTCTCGGGGATCGACTGAGGCTGTCGGCCGTGGCAGCCAGCATCTTTCCCTGCATGCCGGTGGTTCTCAACCTGTTCATAACCCCTTAGGGATCACACAGCAGCTACCCTGCATATCAGGTATTTACATTACGATTCAAAACAGTAGCAAAATTACAGTTACAAAGTGGCAATGAAATAATCTTATGGTTGGGGGACACCACAGCATGAGGAATCGTATTAAAGGGTCTCAGCATTAGGAAGGTTGAGAACTACTGCTATGCTATCTCATCAGCCTCTATCTATCTATCTATCTATCTATCTATCTATCTATCTATCATCTATCTATCTGTCATCTATCTATGATCTATCTATCTGTCATCTATCTATGATCTATCTATCTGTCATCTGTCAATTGTCTATCTATCTATCTATCTATCTATCTATCTATCTATCTATCTATCTATCTATCTCATTTTACTATGTAGTCCTGCTAACATAGAACCCACGGTGACAAGCCTCAGTCTCCTGAGCACTGGGATTACAGGGGTGTGCCACCCTGCCTGATCTCAGAAGAACCTCATCTCACTCCATTGCACCATTCTTCTTTTTCCAATATTTTGTACAATCTTTTTCTCTCTAATAATTTGTTATGAAATTTTCAGACATTCAGAAAACTTGAGGGAACTATATAATAATCATCCTGAAATAAACTTTAAAAATATTCCTCTCTTCTACATGGCTCTTGAATTCTGATCCTTCCTTCCAAGCAATAATGATATTTGTCTTCTTTATTACATGCATTTATTTATTGGGGAGGAGGTACATGTAATATGTGTGTGAAGTCTGAGACCAACTTTCGGAAGTCAGCTCTCTTTCTACCATGTCAGCCCTAGGGACTGAATTCAGAACACCAGTCTTAGCAGTAGGTACCTTTACCAACTTAGCCATCTTGCTAGGCCCAAGTGACGTTTTTCACAGTATTTGTCCTGGGGAACTTGTGGCATAAACTATCAGGACCATGTGGTTTGTCCGCTTGCTGTCCCAGATTTTCTTTTCAGAGATGAGAAAGACCCAGGTTTCATCAACAGACAGACCTGGCTTTCATTCTCAGCCACTCTACTTGTCAGCCAGGTGACCCAGGATGTGTCCTCTTCTCTGAACCAAGGATTTATGTAGAGGGCCATTATCTGAGTACTTGGCAAAGAATCGTCTTCAAAGAATCATTCTGTAAACTCGAACTTCTAATTGAGAACACTGCACAGGTTGGTTATGATGAGGACAGAGGAAATGTTAAAATTCTGGGGTGGAGTAGTTCTACGTCCTATCATAGAAACAAAAGTCAGACACAGGCACGCGTTCAGGTATACCTTTAACCGGCTGGATCTTTTTTTTTTTTCAAGTGATGGAAATCAGTCAGTTCTAAACTCTGTCCATATGTTCAGCTGTAAACAGAGCTATGGGCACAATGGGAGTCTTTCCAGACTGGCTCATCCTTATCTGTCCGACTCAAGGATATATACTTTCCATAGCGTGTGTTGTTCAAACTCTAAACCCTAGAGACTGGGGCTAGTGCCCCATCTGTGATTAGCTCTTCCTTGTGGCTAGGATAAAGCATTGGATTACTTCAAGGCAAACGGATGGCTGTCTTTCAACCCAGAAAGACTTTGAATGCTTCTAACCCCTCTTTCATCCAAAACTGAGTCAGTTTCTCCACTGAAGAGTATTTTTAAGATCTCCAGGGAAATCTCCCAGCCTAAGTTAATGCAAGGATAAATAAATAAATACAAGAAGAGTGTACATCAACTTTGAGGTGGGTGGGCATATAGTGTTTGTGTGTGTGTGTATGTGTGTGTGTGTGTACACACATGTCATGTGTGTACGTGTATATGGTATATATGTGTTCATGTGTGTACCATGTGTGTATGTGTATGTAGAAGTCAGAGGCCAATGTCAGATGCCTTCCTCAATCACTCTTCATCTTATTTTTTGACACAGTCTCTCACTAAACCTGGGGGTTATGACTTGGCTAAACTGGGTAACCAGGAAGCCCCAGGGCTCCTCCTGTCTCCACCTCTCCACCATTGGGGTTACAGGTGCATACCACTGCACCTGTTTTGGTTTTGTTTTTTTTTTCATGAGAGTGCCTGGGATAAAAATCAGATCCTCATACTTACATGGCAAGCGTTTCACTGACGAAGCTATCTCCCCAGTCCCTGGACACTAACTCTTGAGGAGATTGCTTTGAGTAAGACATAAAGCTGAAACCAAGAGATAGGACTCGGATTCTCAGACTAAGTGAATCAAGAAAGAACCTAGGAATTCTGAATCCAGCATGCTGCTCTGCATGGGATCAGGGATCACTTCCTCTCAGCAAGTCCTGAGTCCTGGGAACAAAAACACTTCCAACAAGTGTTTCAGAAGAAACTGGAAAGCACCTTACTGTCTTTGCCTTTCTTGTAGGGACGAAATCTCGGTGTAGACACTGAGACAAGACATGGAGGGCACGTCTGACATGCTTCTCATCCGAGGGGGATGGAGGGGAACAGCCTGAGCCTTCACCTTTTGTGGTTTAAGAAAACAAGTTGGAGCTTGAGGCAGAGTTTGGGAAAGAACCCCTCAGTCCCGGAAGGGATGAAGGTCCATGGTTGGCTCAGACCAGCTAATCCAGTAGGAAAACTCTCTCAAAGGAGAAAGACAAGAAAATCCAGAGCTGAGTCCACATGAAGAGAATTCTTGATAAAAATCAAAAGATGAGGGGCTGGAGAGATGGCTCAGCGGTTAAAAGCACTGACTGCTCTTCCAGGGGACCCGGGTTCAGTTCCCAGCACCCACACGGCAGCTCACAACTGTCTGTAACTCCAGGATCCAACACCCTCACACAGACATACATACAGACAAAAAACAAATTTTTTTTTAATCTAAAGATGAGGAGGATTGAGGAAAAATGATGAAGGGGGATAGTATACACTTGTAAGAACTCTATGTAAGAGCTTGCTCCTATCAGGACATCATCTGGTCACACAACCCCTTCCTTGGACTGTGGAAGTTCACCAGCAGCAGCAGCAGCAGCGGGCAAGTCATCACACAAAAACAATCAAGGATGGGAAGAGAAAGTGAGTTTTGAGGTGGACTGGCATCCCAACTGTGTAGACTGCCCTGTTTTTCAACAAACCCACAGCCCGACGGGAAGCCAAGAGCTCTTCACACTGGGCCAGACTTTCCCACCCCAACTTGGGGGTCCGCCAGTTTTTGCTGGCTCTCTTTCCAGTGTCAAAGTGTCTTGTGAAATGACTGGTACTTCCTGCTTCCTGTCACACCCCAGACTCAGACATGCCACCTCTCCCTGGGTATCCACCCTGTGGCTCCATGAGAACGAGCCACTGCCACCTGGAACTCTTAAGGACACAGAAGCCCCTGTGGAGGAGAGGGTAGCAGTGTCACAACCTCCCTCTTCACCCGCTTGTCTTCCATCACGCCTTTTCTCCTCTTCCCTGTGCCGACCATGGCCACCGCTCCTGGTCCACATTCCTTCTTCGTGTCCCAGCCTCCCAGCTGTAAGGCCAAGAGGACACTCAGAGTTACAGGCTCCAGAAATTCTCATCTTCATAGACCTGTCTACCCACCTCCCACCTGGCCTCCAGGGACACAGCCAACATTCCTTCAGTCCCACAGAGAAAGGGCGTAACATGGATTACTCAATGAAGCCTCCAAGCCACCAGCATCTCGTGCCCCCAAAACAATAGCGTTGTATTTTTCTTGGACTTTTATTTGGTTTCTTCTTTGATTAGCAGGTGGGACTCCTCCCCCCTCGCTTCCCCATCCCCCACTCTTCTTAATCCACCAGCCTAGCTCTTTCGGAAGACTCCAACCACCAGTGACCTCAGTAAGGTAAAGTATTGGACTGCGAACCTCGGTGACATCAGTGAGCTTGAGAAACGCCATCTCCTGGGCTTTCTCACACGTGGGAACTTCTCTCAGGAGTCCACATCCCATCTCTGATCTGTTTGTTTTGGATGCTAATCCCAGGACGCTGGGTGAGGTGTGAGGCAGACTGACCTTTCCTGTTC